TTATTGACAGTTTCCGTAGCATTTTCCGCAATCCTTTGATAAATTTGTCTTTTACTAGCAAAAAGTCTAGTTTTACGTTTAGTTTTTATAGGAGCCATAAGTATAATTCAAAGTATTAAAAAACAAAACAAACTACAAAATTACACAGAAAAAAAACTTTTGTTTACTTATGAATTTGCCTCCGTAGCTTTCTTTCTTTCCAAAGACAGCCTTTGGGGCGAGTGCTTCAGCCACACCTTTATGGCCGATGCTATGTCGTCGACTTGTGTATTGGGGGGACTTGAACTTTGAACGGAAGCTAAATGAATAAATATTAACAAATTAGTATTAGTTTTCACTTACATATTACGACTTTGCAAAGTTTAAGGGTTGAGAAAGACCGTTTCTGGTTCCTCGTTCCTAAAAAACTATAAGCCGAACCAATCTCGTTGGTTAACAATCCCCTCAACACGTTGTTCGTTTTGCTAGTAACGTCTTTGCGACCAAAATGAGTCATGTAAGGAACCTAAAAATTAGTTATTAATAAATTCAAGATAATATAACCATAAACATACAAATTTCATAAAAATTGCTGTCACTTTTTAAGAATTCCTCACATTCCAAAATAGCCTCAAATGAATTTAGTGGCAAATTCGGACAGCCTTCCGGAAGAATGTGTGTTGGACCTGTTTTTTGTAATGCTGCAATGATTTGTCAATTTTGCTCCAAAATTAAATCGTTTTGGGCCTTTATTTCCTTAAGTTTTTTCATTAATTTTGCATAATTACATGACTCTGAGAAAAATATGATATATACTTATTAAATATTTATTTTAATATACCTGTAGTGTAGGGTGGATCCGTTTGGTCGTTTGGTTCTGTTTGACTTGACTTTAAATTTTGTGAATTTGCTAATAAAAAAAAGATTACTAAAAAGAACTATATAATGATCTTTTTAATGATCCAACGTCAACCTACAACCAAAAATGCCTAAACTATAAAAAATATTAAATACATATAACAAATTATTAAGTGAAGTAGCTCATGTATCCTGAAAAACAAATAAACATCTGGGGAACCCAGTTTACTCTGGCCGTTTTAACTTAAAATCACCACCTTCTTAATGAAATGTATCAATATTCCCACTTGCGCATCGGTCATTTCGAATGTTCATTAGGGCGTTTCTATGTGGCTAATTAATTACTTAACGAACAAAAACGTAACTAATAAAAACTAGGAAGGAAAGGTGCAACAAAACAAGATACACAACGGAGAGAACATAAAAAATAAATAAAATGAACAAAAATTTATTACATACAGGCACTCTTTTGTGCTGCTGCACCCGCCGTCGCAGAGGTTATTGTGGCAGTGGCCCCGAGCGATGTCACAGAGGCTCGATTCAAAGTGATTTCTTTAAAAAAAAGGTACAATCAATTATTTTTATCATATCTAAGCTTACCTTTAGCGTGTAAAATGCCCTTTAAACTGCTACCCAACAGAAAATTTTAAATAACACGGGTTTAAAACATTCGTAAACTCCTTTAGTCAACTCACTTGTTTTAAAAATTTTTGGAGGGCGCAACAATTTATTGTTCTCCCCCTCATCTGTTTCGCTATGATTAGCAGATGATGATGAAGATACATATTTTTTATTTTTTTTCACCCGACGTCTAGATGCTTCTACACTTGATGAAAAAACATCTGACACCTCTTCACATTTTTTTAATCGCTCATTTGCCTTTTGCAGATCATCTGAAAACGATATCTTATTGTTCTTTTAACTGCTACCTTGTAGACAGCTTACAGTGGCTACAGTGAAACCCGAAAAACAAGTGCATCAAGACATACACGGGGTATGTTTCCTAAAGTATCTTTCACTACAGGGCGCGCCAAACTTGCCTCCCAAAGAAAAATGCCATGTTACGGTAATATACCAGGACAATGGAAAAAATGTTAAAAAAATTCTATCTATAAAAATTTCGAAGTTATGAGAGTTTAAATTTTGCACTTTGACTCTATTTATTTCTATTCGAAAAATAATTTTCCAAGTTTTTTGGTTACAGGCTATTTGAACAGGAAACAAGGAAGCTGTATTCTAAATTGTAACTCTGTTCAATGTTATTTGTGGCTTTTATTGGCAAAATTTTTCTACCTTTACTGAAAATAAAAAAAAAACATATACAAGATCATATCATATTATTAAATAGACATAAAAAAAATGTAAAATGTCAAAAAATAGATGTCAAAATTTTTTGACATCTTTTTTAAACATTTTTTCCATGTTCCTGGTATCTTATCTTACACTTCATTTTTTTCTTTGAGGCGCGAGTTCTGGCGCATCCTGTATATCTTATTAACTAATATAGTCGAATTCAGCTGCTGATGTTAAATACTTCATGTTTTTCTCTATGTATATTTTTTTTTCAGAATTTCTCGATCCTTCCTTATAATTAAACAACGCTGCTTAAATGATGTTTTCGAGCAAAAAATTCTTAATAAAATTTACGTTTATTTTAATTTTTACCCAATTCATTATGTTTTAGGGCTTGCGACATTTTTTAAGAGTTTTTATCACATAACAACATTTAAGCATCACTTTGTTCTCAGATGACACAAGAAATAACAATTTTATGCAGCTACTTAATAGTAATTAAAATAATCATTAATTAATTGATTTTAATTATAAGGAATTGTAGAAAAAAAAATTGAAAAAATTGACTCCGCATCGAGAAAAATACAAAAGTACTTAATAGCAAACGCTGAATTTTGAGCGATTATTAGTTTTTGAGATATAGTAAAAAATACTTTAGCAGACACCCTGTATACTTAAGCCAAATATATGCACCCAATAATACGAATAGTGAAAATCCGAATTACAGAGGTTTTACTGCATGATAAGCAATTCGTATCATACACACCACACTCAAAAAAGATCGCACAGCATCCAAGATGTCTCGTCAGGTTACTAATATATACTATGACACTAAAAAAAGTCAAGGTTTTGTTATATTTTTTATTATATCACATAATATCACGGCTTATTTATTAATATTTAAAAAATATATAAATAAATGTTTACAATAATTAAATTTAAATTATTAAATAATTAGAAATTATTTTGAAATTGTCAAATTCGTTAGAAAAATATGCATAACATGTAGATATCCTGACTTAACAACTCTAAAATTATTGCTTTTATAGAATATTCAATTTTGATTACAATATACAAATTATATTATAATATTAAACATCATGTCTCATTTTGGTTATAGATTTAACGTCAATATGATTTAACAAAAATGACGTCCAAATTTAGTGATTCAGATGACGTCGTATAATAAGGTCAATTCACCTACATGTCATTAAAATCACGTGTTTTTGACGTGATTAAGACGAAACGATGTTAACTGGGATGTATGTATCATCCACGGAGACGAACTATAGTACAGTGTTTATTTTAGAAAAAATTAATAAAAAATTGTCAAAAAGTTATTTAAAATACTATTTTCCTTTAATGTTTTGTTTAGCTTATTTAATAATTATTATTAAAATTGAGTTTTATTTGTTTTGTGTTGATTTTCTCAAGTTTTTTTTTATGTAACTCTTACTTAAACTATAGTATTAATAGATCAAATAATACTTACCAAAATTAATCGAATTCTTAAAAGTATAAAATTTTCAGTTTGCAAACAAAAGTTTCGTAATTAGGCGCGCGGACTTCAGTCGTAGACCAGGCCACTTTTTGCTTGATGACAATATTACACATAGGATCTGCAAATTATATTACCTGGGTGGAGTGATTCATTCCTACAGCTGCTGAGAGTGGCGCATGCCTCTCTTGATTTGTTTAAGAATTATAATATAACCATATTATCTTTCAAAAAAAAAGTCTTGGGCTACGACTGTAACCCGCGCACCTAACTAAAGTGTGTGGTTCGTACAACGTTTTTCGTCCTATTAAATTTCCATATTTAAAAAATTTAATTTTAAAATTTCGAAAATATCACTATTTGAGTGTGTAAACTGTCAAAGCCGCCAAAAAGAAAAGGGGTCTGTTAAAATCTCTTAACAATCCTGTGAGTTACCGGGTATTTTTGTAGGCTTAACAACCCTTGTAAATTCTTGAAGGTCGGCACGAGTCGAATTTTTCAACGCTTTCATAAATAACACTCTAAGGCCCAGTTTTTCAATTGTTGATTAATTTTTGATTAAGGTTTAATTTGTAATTAACACAATGTTACCGTTTTTCAACCTGCGATTAACAAAAAAGTTTATGTTTATTCTTGATTAACTTAATAGGACTGCGGATTTATTGAAAATTTTTGATTAAAACAGCAAAGAATAATCAGTAATGATATTTATGACATTAATGCTTATAGTAGCGATGAAGAGCCACGGAGGCCAAAAACAATACATTTCAGGCCCAATCACTTCGAAGAATGAGACCAAAAAGATTTTTTAGCCGCTTTCGCTTGTCTTCGCGAACTGCGGCATTGGCTTTGGGTCTGCGGTTAAAACTAGACACAACGCAGGCTGTTGTAGTCTCTACAGCAGTTTTACATAATATAGCCTGCGATGAAAATGAACCTGAAACTCCTGTTAATGAGCATGAAGACGCTGCCATAGAACTTGTAAACAATGTTGGCGATGATGATCAAAATGAAATAAGAGGCGATACTAACAATAATACAAGATATAATTTAATAAATAACTATTTTGACTTTAACAAAACGAAATACTATAAACTACCATGAATATAACCATATATTATTTTTTTCTATTTTTTTGTTAACCAGTTCTATTTTTTTCTTCTTAAAAGTTACATCCGTAAGCCATGTTGTTCTAAAAAAATTTTCTTTTTGTAACTTTATTAAATTTAATTTTTCTTATATTAATTGGTAATTACGTAATACCGACATAACTTCTTTGTGGTATTTAACTTTTTAACTTATTATTAATCGACTTTCTGAAAATGATGGACATGAAATTTTAAATTCGTTATATTAAATTATTTACTTGGTGGTAAGTTATTCCTCTTGGTTTTCACAGTTAATTTTTCCGACACAGATCGGTAAGGGTATATGCAGCCCAGTTAATATTATTGCCAATCTCCACTTCTGAAGTATTATCAGTACTTCCTATAAAATTATAGTTAATACATAGCATGAAATTAATACATACTTTTCATTTCATACCTGTAAATACCTTCACAAGGAATTTGTTCACTGGCCGGTGACTCGGACCTCTGCTGCATTATCTTCATTTACTTTGTCTATAATAAATATTAAACATAATTTAAGAAAAGTAAGAGCGCATAAAAATCAAGTAAAATTCAGCTTCTTACTTTGGACATAGTCGCTGTAATAAATATTATTCAAACAATCGATTTGTTCTCCTATTATATCTATCAACGTTTTGTCTATATCCGTAAAATTTATAGTTTCACAAGATCCTCCACCTGTTTTTAATAATTGTTGCATATTTTCCGAAAATATTTGCTTCGTGGTCCGTTTTAGGTTTGCATATTTCTCTTTGAGACCTTTCATGTTGCGGTACAAAGTATGCGTGTTTTGACAATTAAATTCTTCCTCAATCCTCTTCCACGCTTCCTGCTTATCTTTCCAGGATATAACGCCAGATTTTTTATTTTCAACAATATGCTTATTTTGTGCCACTAGGTTCACAAGTAATTGCTCTTCCTCTTTAGAGAAATTACCAGATCGCTTAGTTGCATTACTCGCACTTGTACTCCATGCTAACTACAAAATAATCTTCAATTTTGTAAATTCTACGTCTTTAATACATTTACTTACCTAAGAAATCGTTTTTAACTAAAATTACGATGAGCAGAAATTACAAATTTGAACTTGTCACAATACACAAACAACCACCAAGTTGTCAAATTTGATAGAAAAGTTAATACCAACATAACAAGTTTTCAATTAGTTAATCATAATTGAATGTTGATTTGAAAAACACTATCCATGATTAATTTGAATTTAATCAAGAAGTAACGATTAGCTAATCAAAATGTTAATCATCTATTGAAAAACCGGCCCTAAATATAAAAGTTTTTCTTTTATTATTATAAAAAAGCTGCATAAAAGGGCAAAATAGAAATAATAGTATAAAACACTCGTTACAAAAGGTCATTCAAGCAATCGTTATATATTTTAGTTTTTAGTGTTGAAGTATACGTCCGTTTAATAAATAATCGAAGTTTTGGTCATTTTGGAGTTCTTTTTGTGAATTGCTACTATAGTATTTATTAATTAGAATCGATTTTCATTTAACGAAATAATAGGAGTTTTCCGCAATTGTCTAAGTAGTCAGTTGGTAAAGTTTAGACTGAATCAAAATGAAAACTGAATTGATGTACTGTGTTTTATTTATTTTCTCAGTAAGTGTACAGGCTGTGGTCGAAAGAAAATGTATCGAAAACCTTATTGAATTGTATTTCGAAACAGACAATATAATCCACGTTGTTGATACAGATTTGAAACTTAAATTTCCATTAATACATCACGATTCTGGAAGACACTATTTCAAAACATTTCATTTCCAAAAACCGAATTTTTATATAATCACAACAAAAGCCAAAGATTTGGAATTACTAACAAGGAATTTATCTGAAAGTGATCATTTTAATCCACGAGCAAAATTTATATATTTGATACAGGCAACCAACTATTCGTCTTATTTTTATCATTTATCGCAATACTTTATCTACAACGTTGTTTTCATAGATGTGGAGAATGAATTGCTGGTTTTTGACCCGACAAACATTCAAATTATTAAATGCAGTGATATTAATAATTTCAACTTAAATTTTTTTCGTCCGAAATTTCCTTGGAGAAATTTATCAATAGGGGAGTTGTTTTATCAAGATTTTCCATATTTGTACAGAAATAACAACGAGTTTACTGGATTTTATGCTAACTATATTAAAATTCTTCAGGAAATTTTACATTTCCAACCGAGAGTTGCGGAAATCCCAAACCGGACATCTGCTTTAGGTTTAGTATTATTAGTTGTGATAAGGTTATAATAATGAGTTTTTAGGTCATTTGCTACAGAAAAATTTTACCTACTTAATGAATTTTGAGCACATTACTCCTGAAACTTATTCTAAGTACGATTTAGTACCAGTTTATATTCAATTAGTTTACAAGTTTATTGTCCCCAAAGCTCCCCGATTGCCAATCTGGAAAAAGTTTTTTCGCAATTTCGACTTATCCACTTGGCTATTGATTCTATTATTTTTCTTTCTGGTAACTTTTACAAGGACATTTTTTTTCAAACGAAACGATGTGACTCTTGCATTTTTGCTTCAATTCCAGTCTCTGGTAGAAAACAGTAACTTTAGGCTACTTCACATTCGAAAACTTTCAGCTCGAGTTATAGTCTCTTTGACTTTATTATCATTTTTTGTATTATCAACAATGTTTAAGACAGTGATGATTCGGTCATTTACGCAACATTTTCACGAGTTTCAAATAAGTTCAATCAAGGAAATTGTCAATGCTAAAATGCATTGTTACACAGGTGATGTTGTCAAGGAAAATTATCGCTTTTCAAACGACTCTTACAGTCGTTACATTACTAATTGCACCACGCTGAAAACTGAGGAAAAAGATAAAATTCTAGAAAACATTTCTGAAAATGAAAACATAGCAATGACAGTTCGTGGTGTTGAATATAAATATGCAGCTCATAAGTTTTATTTAATGGGATACCCGGAGCCGTTGATATATTTAACACGAAAATCAGTGAAAATGGATTTTGTCTTTATTTATTTTTCGAAAGGACATCCGCTGTATTCTGAATTTTGCCAAGTCGCTGGAAAGTTGTTTAATAATGGAATGTCACGAATGGTAGTAAATAAAGCATACTACAACATCGAGAAAGTTCTCCAAGCTAAAGCAAGGATCCATCCAAATATTTTAAGCTTTCACCAGATTTCCGTTGCATTTTATATGCTTTTTGTAGGATTGGGCGTTGCATTCTTGGTGTTTTTATTAGAATTCATCATTTAAAATAATTACATGTCGTGCCACAACCGTCGCCACTGCTGTCACTTTTCACGATGTTTTTTTGTCTGAAAGAGTGGAGCTTCTTGTCTCAAAATTTGTCAGTAGGGGTCAGCAATTGCGACGTTGCCAGGGTGACAATGGCTATGGCACAGGAAATATAAACCACAATGAGATGGGCTGTGTTTCTTAAACTACAAAATAAATATGAAAAAACCTTTCAAACGAGCATTTATAATAACATGCTAATTCCTGGAAATTTGCCATAAAAAATTTTCTTCAATAACCGTAGGATAATTTTTCAGTTTGTCACTGCTTAAGAGCATTATAGGTTTTCTCATACCTTGCTTTTGACTTTTCCAGAACTAAGCTATTCATAGCTTCGTCCGCTGAATTTAAAATATTTTCGGACAATTCGGTAAAGCCAAATTTTTTTTCGCTTTGATGTTTACATGTTAAAATTTATTTATAAATAACACTTGAACTCTAACTGTGGCATTAGATCTCTTATCAATTTTATCACATCTTCCTGACTTTGCTTTGAGACTCCTTGAGGAACAGGTAATTGGGGATTTTTTTAGTCTTGCTTCAGGTTTTGAGAAAATGACATTTAACTAATTTTTATCGTTTATGACTTTATCTTGCGTTTTGTACCATTGCTGTAAAACTTCAAAGCAGGTTAATTCTTTAGAAAGTTTTTTTTAATCTTTTAATAATAAAAAATACAAAGATGGTCTCCTAAAATGAATTTTCTTGGTTTTGTTTGTTGTTTTTTTTAAACTAACAAACTCTGTCTGACAAGAGCAGTGTGCAGTGGTCACTATTGTTCCACTTTTGTGAAATATTAGTTATTCACAATCATTTCAAATTTATTGAATCATTGATATAAAACATCAGGTTTAAACTGGAAAGTGGTCACTTCCTTCTCAGTTGATATGTAATACGACAATTTGAGTTAGGAAATTGCCACTTCCCAATCGGTAAACTGATAAGAAAGTGACAACTTCCCAACCTAAACCGTGATATGTCATATTTTTCAAACTCTTGATTGGCTTTCTGTTCTTTAAGGAGGAGATTGTGAATAAAATAGTATACAAACCTTGGTGGTCGTTGATTCATCTTAGGTACAACCTCGGCTTATTGCTAACCGCGGCGCTTCGCGTCTTGGTCATCAAATTTCGCCTTGATGATAAAGCACTTCCTACCTCGGTATGTAATCTACTACTTAAGTTTGTTAGGTTTTTTCTTTGGAATTTACGGCCAGAAGGTTTACTTTGTACATACACATCTATTGCAATAAACTAAAATGGATCTGTATTGGCTATTTCTAAAAACTGTATCGCAATATTCATAAATTTCTTGTTTTTTAATACACCACATATTTCCTTTTTGTATTTAAAAGCTTATATATTTAGGTACAAAACTACAATGTCTCTCTGCACAAAATGTGCTCATGATGGCCGGCGATAAAAAACACGGTAATTCTGTGCTCTGCAAAAAGTGCAAATCAAAAGTTGTTGATTTCATCAAATGTCAACAGTGTGCACAACATTTTCATCCTAGGTGTGCGAGAGAGTTAAATGCAACGTTTGTGCAAGAAAAAATAGTTCTGTGTTGTGGTAAAACAGAAAAAGCTGACGACACCCTAGACCCGCCATTTTGGGACTCAGTAAGTGAAGTAACCGACAGGGCCGCGCCTAGACTTTTGGCCGCCTTTGTGCAAAAATTATTTTTACGCCTCTTTTTTTAAGAAAATAAATAAAACTATATACCTATTATTGGTGTATAATTTTATTTGTAAAGAGAACATAACTTATTAACTTACATGAATACATACATACCTACTTACAAAAAAAAAATAATAATAAAATTAAAACAAATCAGTCATAAAAATTACATTTTGCAAACTTTATTTTCTGTAAAATTGGTTATTAAATCATGTAAATTTAAACTATCTAAAATATTATTTTGGATGGATATGATGGCTAAGTCAGAAAGTCTCGTTTGTGACTTAGTAGATCGTAGATAATTTTTAATAAGTTTTAATTTTGAGTAAAATTTTAGTAAAATTCTGATTGCAATAAAAATATTAGGAAAAGTCGAAACAAGTTTATTCTCTAAAATATATTCTAAGATAGAATGCGGATCTTTTTTAGCTTCTGCTTTGGTTTCTAAATGTAATTTAAAACATTTCATTTCTTCAAATAAATCTATTGCGTCAATGTCTTTCTCGTCACTTTAATCATCTTAGTAGTATAGCCATGTATGTTCTGGACCACAAAATTAGGCACGGGGCGGAGCCAAATTGTGGTGGGGGTGTGACGCGGGCCGGATGTTGGCGGGGCTTCCAATGTGTTTCGACCAATGAGAAACCTCGGCGTGTGTGGTGGGGGTAAAAATGGCGACGTTTTGTGTTAATTTT